TACATGACTCAGCAGTGGAAAATAAACTGGACTGATGGAAGGAAGCTCAGAATACAAGACATTTTAGGCAGATTTTCACACACGCCTATATAAGCATCAGAGAGGAACATGACTTATTAAAGATTTCCACATACCCAGAATTACACAGAATCTTGGGCCGCTGCTACTCCTGTGATGGAGCTTCCTCTGCTGAGAAGGCATGCGGCAGATACTAAAGACATTAGCTTCTGAAATTGTTAGCAAACTCATTTCCTTGCAGGTAAATGGCCAGTTCTTTCTTTGGGGAAATAAAAACAACATATACCACAGGCTTATTCAAGATGTAATTAACAGTATAGAAAAATGCACTTTTAAAGCAAAGTCATTGCCTGGTGTGTTGGTACATGTTTGCAATTTCTGCACACTGGGAGGCTGAGGCAGGACAATTACAACTTCAAACCCAGCCTAAGCAACTTGGCAAGACCCTGTTTCTTTTTTTTTTTTTTTTTTGGTTTTTCTCCGGTACTGGGAACCGAACTCATGACCTTGAGCTTGCCAGGCAGGCGCTTTGCCACTGAGCTAAATCCCCAACCCCGGCAAGACCCTGTTTCAAACTGAAAACACAAAAGGCCTACGGATGTAGCTCAGTGCTGAGGCACTGGATTCAAACACAAGTTTTGGAAAAATAAAGATACAAGTAATTCACATACTGCGATGTCTTTGGGATTTGACTTTGTATTTATCTTCCCTGTGAATTTTATATTTTCGGTTCTTTTTATGCTTTTCTGAGGCTGGAACACACCTTATGCTTTAAGTTGAAGACTCACCACTGGGCTAAGCCTGCAACTTGAGTTTTGTTTTTTGTATTTTGAGGCAGTTCTAGCCTGTTACCCAGGTTGGACTGTACCCTGTCATCCTCCTGTCTCAGCCTCCCACAGTACTATAATGACAAACATGTGCAGCTCTAAGTGGCTTACAAAGATTAAGCTTTTAAGAGGTGCTGAGGTGGGCTAGCGTCTGGTTGACCATTATTTTGTTCCCGGTTTTATAGTTTTGGAGACACCTCCATGACTTGAGGGACAATTTGGTTCTTATGTTCCTGCTTTGCAGGGCAGTCTCAGTTTTTGGGTAGCTGTCTTGCAGGTTTAGAGCAAGGCCTAGAGCCAGTAGGTGCCCATTTAAGTGGGAAACATGTCATCTGTCTTGAACAAGAGTGAGACCGGTTATGTAAATTTAGGGGTAATAAACCTTGACTGACCCGCTTGGACCCTGAGGTCCAAGCCAGGGTGGGGGAGAGCAATTCTGTGTACCTGGGGGCAGCACTGCCTTGGAAGATCAGAAGCCTAACAAGAAGACATAGCTAAAACAAAGGAGGTAGAAAACAAAGTAAAATTTTAAAAAAAGCAAAGCAAAGAAGCAGTAAAAGGAATAAATGCTAAAGAAAAAACTTAACCAAAGAGGTGAAAGATTTGTACACTGAAAACTATGATAAGTCAGCAATACAGTAGCAGAAAGACAACATAGGTAAATGAAAGGACAGCCTATGTTCATGGAATGGGAGAATCAATATCCACAGAATCAGTGTGATCCTCTTCCAAATCTCAGTGACACTGTTTACAAAAATGGGGGGGGGGGACAATAAAAATTATGTAACACCACAAAAGATCCTAAGTTCCCAAAGCAATCTTGAGCAAAACAAACAAAGAGAGAGGCAACAACCTTCTGATTTAAAAATATACTATGAGCCAAGCATGGTGATGTAGGCTTTTAAACCCAGCGTGCTGGGAGGATGATGGTAAGATCAACCCCAACAGGACAACATAGCTACTTAGCAAATCCTGTCACAATATTAAAAGTAAGCAGATGGCTGGGGATGGAGCTCAGAGCAAAGACCTTGGGTTCAATCCCGAATCCCACCAAAAAAGTTTGCAGAAATTAAAATAGTATCATGAGTATAAAGGTAGACAAATAAACTAAGGGAATAGAATACAGAAACTGGAAGTAAACCCACACATTTTTGTCAACCAGTTACTTCCTTTCCTTTCCTTTCCTTTCCTTTCCTTTCCTTTCCTTTCCTTTCCTTTCCTTT